CCGTTAAATGATGTTTCCAGTGCTTTTGTTTGAGAAAAGCAACGATCACAGTAGACTGAAGTTAAATTCACTTTTTTGCTTTTCAAAAACTCAAACAAATCAATGAACGATTCCGTAGTGCGATTTCTAAGTATAGAGAAAAACAACACCTTTGTTTTGTTGTGAACATCACTGAATACACCAATAACAAGAGGGAAATTGAAAGTGTTTGTTGCAGCAGTATCATCAATAAAGACAAGTGGAGGTATCGAGTTAATATATCTCGTATTAAGGCAATAACAACATTCAAATCTTCCAGTGTCATCTTTGGTTATGTGTGTGGATATATCCCCCAGTGTATTACAATAATCTATTAAACGACTTGCTTGTTCGTAATTTATTCTGTCATACTCAGTTTTCCCAATATTTTGAATCCGCTTGGTATTTGCAACAACATCATGATTAACTCTAACTTTTGCGGGTTTTACACCCATTGCAAACATGGATGTTATGGTATGCATTTGTTCTTCAGTAAAGAAATATTTGGATCTTGGTGGTAAATATTCAAATGCGTGATTGTGTTTATTGGTAATAATTATATGAGAGATTGAGGTTTTGTCTTGAGTCGAAACAATTCTCAAATTGCTTGAACAATTTTTAAAACAACAACCAAATTTTTGAATGTTTTTAGTTGCGTCGGTGTGAAGCGCTGTATATAATGCACATTGAAGATTACCAGCGGTAAACCTTGTTGCGATATTCACCCTCTGAGTTATCGTTTTTGCATCATAAACAAGTCTTTTGAGACCGTCAACAACACAAATTGGAGTTTCAACAGTCCCATTTGGATCATTATCATTATAAATGATCGTGTTTTCAATTTCCATGTGTTTTTATTGTTCTGGATATATTAGATTATTAACTTTAATTAAACTATAAAATCAAAAGGGTTGATACATTTATTATATTTTATTAGACAATAATATAAATGTTTATCACATTTCGAAATTGTGTACTATAAAAAAATAACATAAAAAACTACAGTTATGGGAAGTACATCAGAAAATTGTTATTATTTTTTTATTATTTTGAAAAACAAAAAAATATAAATGTT